GCCAACATGCATGTTATTGAAAAATATTGGCCAATTAACTGCATTATTATTAAAAGTGTATGGACATTTTGAGCCTCAATCAAAAATTTGGTAACTTTTCAAAAAAGAGACTCCAACATGCCGTCCACATCAGAAAACACCAGCAAAAGTGCAGGGTGAGGCTAATGAGCCTCACCATGCTACAACTGCTGCTGACTTAGCAGCTAACGGCAAATATAAATAAGAGAAGACCAAAAAATATTAAGAGAATTATTTAAGTGCACCTCAACTGTATACAATATATGTAGCCTAGTAGAGGGTCCCTGCTCTGTCTCTCTTTCAGTTAAGGGGTACCTACTTAGATATCTATCAAGCCATATATTTGACATTTTTCAGCAACATTTTACATCATGTGCGTTGCTTCACCAAAGTAATCCAACTTATTACATTTGATTACTTTTCAATTACTTTTCTAAAGTGGTAATAAAAGATTTCCACACACTAACATCCATGCAGTGTTTCACTTTATTGTTGAGCTTTCGGTCTATTTGATCTTCATTGGAGCAGATGTATGCTCTGATGAAGGTCAAATAGACCGAAAGCTGTGTGTGGAAATCTTTTTCAGTTTGGACTTGATATTTCCAGCACCTTGCCAAGACCAAGCCAGGTGGAGCGGTGGTTGTTCTGCATCATCATGATTACTTTTCTCACAAATGTTTTAAACTGGGCAATACAGCTGAAAAATGTCCAAAAAAAGGCTACGCCAAAAGAAGGCGTGCCTGCACTGTGACAAGATGCCAAGCAACAGAATGAATGTTAAATTCTTTTTACCAAAAAAAAGTATTTATTTGGATGTAACCCCTTTTCAATTTATGGCGTCAATGTCTTTAAATCTGTCAAAATTAAAGTCCTCTGCTACTTTCATGTTTTACAAATTAAGGGGGCCATGATCTCTGCACCCCCCCACCCCCCACCCCCAAATCTACGCCTCTGTCTGACATGGTTTATCCGTTTTTTTAAGGGTCTGGCAGATAAATTGTGTCCACAGCTTACAGAGCAGAGGTCCAGTGACAGCCCAGGGATGATGATGGCCCTGACAGGGTCCCTGATGGGGGATCCCATTCCTCTCCTCTCATCCAACAATCCCACTGAGCATGTCAATATGAAACACTATCCCCCCACACTGGGGCCACGCTAGGCTATCCCTCCCATTGCAGACAAGACGGGCTCATATTGATAGGATGAGCCTGTAAACTGCTGTGTGAGAAGATGCATGGCGTGCTATGGAGAAAAGTGTAAATTAGACTAAATCAAGTCTCCCCAACAGTAAAACACATTTTCTCTATATTGCACTCAATGTGAGCGTGATTTACTACACGCCTTTTGTTGTATGTGGGCTGAGGGAAAGAGGGGCCGTAAAGCTTTGTTTACCCAACTTTAAAAAATCCACAGCCTTGTAAATGTTGTCAGATGGCCGATGCCAGTGTCTTTCAGCTTAATACTACCTATATTAAATAGTTTAAATATTTCATAAGGGCGGTTTTTAGAGCGAGGGAGGGGAAATCGTTAGCTGCGGTAAAGTTTCATTAACTGGTCCCCATTTCGCTGCGAGGCAAACTCATCTCCTCTTATTGTAATAAAACAATCTCTCCCTCTCTCTCTGGGTGCTGCTATCCACTCATCTCCCTCTCTCCACCGCCTCTCTCCTTCTCTTTTACATCATAATAATACACTACATCCCCTTTAAATGCACTATTACTTACCGCTGCCTTTTCATATTGTAACATCACGGGCACTTTAGCGACAATATAAAAGCGTGTCATTCATTATTCAGAAGCAGCCGGCCTCGTCCCCCTTTTAAAAAGTCAGGCGCGCTGCTGAAATTGATAACGGCGAAGAGACGCGCAATAAAAACGCAGCCCCCGGGTACCGAGCTGCAGCCCAGACCCCCGATTATGCAGATCAAGTGGTAATTTCTCAAACAAATCGCACTCTTTCACTCTTTTGTTGTCGTTTCTTTTTGGACTTTTGGAATCAGGGTGTCAGCTTTTATATTGCCTGTGGAAAAAAACGAGGATTGATGCGCATCTTAATTGCTGGTGTGCGCTGCAGGCTTTCCAGAAACACTATCTAAATATTTTGGCCTAAACGAGATAACCTCAAGGCTGCTCTGTGAAGGGGGCTTTTTTTTAAGTGGACTCTTGGTATCAATTATTTTTTACCTTTTCTGCTGTAATCATGAAGCAATGAAATGATCCGACACTGTCTTCAACATTCAGAGCATCAATAAATTCAGAAAGGCTGGCTGGAGGCGGGCCGGGGCTGCTCCTGGTGGGTTTAGGATAACGGGTGTCACGGTGGTGTCCCGGTAGGTCAGAGATAATGTGTCGTAATCACTCATAATCATTGGATTACACCGGATTACTAACACCCAACATCTGCAACCAGTGGGACCCCGTCTGCTGTGTGTGTGCGCAGGCTGGAGAGGACTGCCTTCACTCTACAGAGCAGCCATCATAAACGCAATAATTGTTAATTTACACGAAGCAGTTGTGATATGCGTCGTCCTATAAGTGGCGGTGTAATTGTTATGAATAAATTAAATCAATTTAAACACGCGGCCCCTGTTCGAGTCACAAACTCATAGCCATAATTACTGTCGGGGAATTATTCTTTGCAAATGTCATCAAGAGGAACATAAAAATGTCCACAAAGATGACAGCTATAACAGACCAATTCTCCCCCATCAAAAGCCACCGGTGAGCTCACATATGGCAGGGTGAAGCAGCCAACACTCAGAGTCTGTCCATATTGCCAAACAAACACCTCGGGCCTTGTCCCATCTCATATTGCTTCATAAGACTTTATTGTGAAGGGCGAGATGCGGATCTGGGTTTAAATATATATTACCCCACATTATCTTTGCATTTGCGCGTGGTGTTATGGCGTATAACCTCACAACTTACACTTTAAACATTTCATCTTCTTTATTTTAAGATTTTTTTTGATGCACTATAAAATACAGTATCAGATAAATTCACTTTACATTTAAAATAATGGATTGTGATCACAGAAACAGTACAAACACAGGAAATATTATCCAAGGGCGTAGGGTTCTTTTAACATTTGGGGGCACACATATGAAACAGGGTGTTAAGGGGGTCCTGTGCCAGAAAATTTTGAGCATCACTTAATTTCCTGCATTTCTGGCGAATTTTTATGCAACAATTTGTGCCTTCAGTGTCATTAATTTGGTCAAAATAAAAGTCCTATACTACTTTTATGTTTTCATGTACCAAATATTGAGGGGGGCATGCTCTCTGAATCCCCCCTGAAACATGCACCAAATAGCCCACATTAAATTTGCCAAAAACACAGACTACCCCAAAAACATTTTAGTTATGATATAGTTCAGACATTAAAACACATGGCCACAAAAACGATGATTAATGAACAGGTTTGAGCAGATCTCTTAAAAGCCTACAAATTTAACCCTCTTTGTCACTAAATGAAGATGTTGGGCATTAGTTTAAGTACTGTAATGTGATATGTGTGAGCCTAAAAAGCCACCTGCCGCATCCGAACCCGACGCGCATTTGTCTGTCCCTGAGACAAGTTAGTGGAAATGTGATTATCCGGTCACTTTGGGCGCCTGTTACATTGAATCTGAGCGGTGAGCAGCTTCCAGAGCCCGGACACTTTATCTGAAGTAGCCCATGGCCTTCCCTTGTCAGGTCATTTAATGTGGCACACACTGGCTATCCAGGAACAAATAAGGCCACGTAACGCTTTGCCATGCTCAATAGGTGCTGGTGATTCACTGACAATGTTCAATTAGGCTGCTGTCCTTGTCTTTTAAAGAGAGACGTGGTGGGTTTCCTGTGCGTAATTACGCACCAGTTAAATGATCATTTTAATTCTGCCTCAATAATCCCACACACATCACATTTAATACAATGTGTTAAAATGGATTATTAAGTGTTTTTACATTATTTTTTATGTAACTTCACCAAGCCAGCATGAATTAACGCGAATGTGGCTGCTCTACATTTGGTTTTAAGGTGTGAACATTTAAGGTTTTTAATTCGGCGTATTACGAATATGGGAAAAACATTCCATCATTTTAGGTTCCAGGTGAAAAATCAAACATTTTGAAACTGTTAAACATTAAATGTCACAGTGCAGGCGAATGTCAAAGGAATACAAAAAATAACTCCCTACATTTGATTATAAGGCGTGGACGATGTGAAGGATTTTAATTAATAGGAAGAGAAATTCAGACCGACATTTCTTCCTTTTGGTCTCTCTTTTATAACATATCCATGACGAATCGTCTTCAGGTTATAAAGCACTCCTTAATAGCTTTGGAGCAGTTTTCCTGTAAACGTATTATTCGTGTACATTTCACGTGTGTCAAACGACACAAATTGAAGAGGTGACACAGACACCAAGAGGACAAATGATGCGCATTTTGTGTCTCGCCTGAAAAGTACGCAGAAACATCAATTCATCAGACCCTGGGGTGTGTAAAAAGTTTTTCTATCTTATATCATTTGTCACCAGAACTTATAAACCCGTACACAGTGCAGACATTTACGGGAATGAGCGGAACGCTGACAGATGACTGACCAAACACCAGTTGGTTGAAACGATTAAATATTAGACGTTCGTCACTAAAGACGCGTAAAAGAACATTGATCTTCAGTGATCCCTGGTGCGACTCTTTTTACATAGGCCATATAAATTTCCATGAAGTTGTCGCTCGCTCCTTACTCTCCATAATAATGATAAAAAACGACAACATCAAAGAGTGACTCACTCAGAAAGGCACGAAGATGCCATATCTTGCCATATATATAACAAGCTGACGCCCGTGGTTATGGGAAACCTTGTGCCAAATTGTGGGCCTACCCCCATTAACATTCAATCAGTCATTCTGGTGCCAGCCAATGAATGGTGGAGAGGGATGGAGGAGGACGGAGCTGCTAGACTGAGCGTTTTGACGCGCTGAGAGGAGGACAGAGCGTCACATCTCTCCAAACGCCCATCAAACTTTCACCACAGCCTGTAGAGAGGACCCAGTCCTCTGAAAGAGGCCTGTTAGAGACAACGAGGACACGCTGGATTCTGCTCACACGGCCGGACAGCGATGGAGACACTACTGGCGATTACTTTTGGTTCAGTTTGACCCTGTTGTTCTTCCCCTTGAAAACATCCTGTTCAGTTTTTGCGTCCTTTTTGCGACAAGGCGACGGGGATGGAGCAAGCACCCAGCGCGCCGAGCCCTCCTCCAAAACCGGCCCATCACGAGCCCATCAGCTTCGGCATCGACCAGATCCTGGGAGCCGGTACGGAGCCAGAAAGCGGGCGCACGGCTGGAAGACAAAGTGGATCCGATTTAAGCAACGGGGACGCTTATTACAGTTTAGGAAGCCCGACCGGGGCCAGCGCGCCCTCATACACCGCGCTGTCTATCTCCCTCTCCGGTATAATGCCTCCGGTGGAGGCTTCAGGTTCATACGGGGAGAGCAGGAGTCTGGGCAGCCGGGGAGTGATTCGAGTCCCGGCACACAGACCCATGACAGCCCCGGGACCCCCGGCCCCCGTCCAGAGCGCTGTCCCTGGGTTTGGGGGGTTGTGCTTCCCTTGGATAGGAAACAGGTTCGCCAAGGACAGAATATCAGGTAGGCCAGCTGTTACACCTGACGGGCTCCTCTCATTTATATTTTATTATGTTTGTTGAAACATAAAATAACACGTGACAAATATCTGTAAAGGTTTTTTTTAAAGCCAAGAGAAATGTTTTCACTTTAATTATTAAATTGGCTTAAAATAACAACAGGAGACAAGTTTAAATGTTTTTCTAAATCATGACGTAAACTACATTTCCAGATTATTATTATAACATTGTGTTTGTGTGACTGACTTCTATTTGGGAGCTGAATATTTCCTTCCAAACAAATACTAATGTGCAATCACACACTACTTTCATAAGGCGTTGTTTTAAAATAGCAAAAGCATTATTTATCAAAATGTACTGTTGTAGTGAAAATAACTAAAATGTTATTCATTGGATAAATTGAAGATAAATAAGAAAAAAAGCCTGTTAGGCTGTCAGATTATTTATTTTAGAAATTGTAGAGAAAAGTAAGATGGAAAAAAAATCATCTAAAACAATAAAAATGTGTGATATTATCTGTGTATTTAACATAAATGTGGAGATAAATTAACAGGAGCTTTTATTATTAAAGGCCTAATAGGTATGGGAAAATATTAGGCCAATAGGCCTGCTGTCCTCTCTGTAATTAGCAGTGCGGATATTATCTGTTAAAGCTGTCATAGTTAAAGCTTTTTTTAATATACTTTTTTTATAATTACATTGTTTGCCATACTTGGCCAGACCCATCCTTCACAATAAATTTCATCTCTCATATCTCACACGTGGCTTACACAGTCTAAATAGGGAATTGTTGTCAAACAGGGCAGATATCTGTGATATATGGCCTTGAATTTCCATACAGAGTGGGGAGTGAATTAGTCTGTTTGGTGCTGTAGCAAAATCTCATCTTCCACTCACCGCTGTGTCTCTGCTCTCTGCTCCCCTGCAGCGGCTCTGGTGCCGTTCGCCGTTACGCGGCGGATAGGACACCCGTACCAGAACCGGACACCGCCCAAACGGAAAAAGCCCCGCACGTCCTTCTCCAGAGTTCAGATCTGCGAGCTGGAGAAACGCTTCCACCGGCAGAAGTACCTGGCCAGCGCCGAGCGGGCGGCCCTGGCCAAGAGTCTGAAGATGACAGACGCACAGGTGAAAACCTGGTTCCAGAACCGCAGGACCAAGTGGAGGTTGGTATGACATTTCATATTTGAGTTTGAGTTGTCCGTACTTACACTTGGAACTCAATCTCATCACATTTTGTCTTTTAAAAACCCGCACTATAGCACGTTTACGCAAATAGGTACACCTTGCTTGTGAAACCAAACTTTCCTGGTTGTGCAGGTGACCCCACGCGCCATTTCCTGTGGCTTGACCTCATCGACACGGAACAAAAAACTATGGGCTGAATATAAACTGCAATTTAAAAACACAATCCTGGATGTAGTTTTATTATCATATTGTCATTTTTCTCTTCTTCTGTTTCGTCTTTTACAACTAATTAGGCCTATATTAAATATTAATTGGAGTAAAATCGTTTTTAAAAATCTCAAAAATGCAGTTTCTACCAAATATTACAGCCAGTCAAATACTATATATTTTTGTCATGTTTTGCATATAATTCATGCTTGATACAAACCTTGACATCCTTGTAAAGCTCTATACATACATTTATTTTATTCTAAGAGCTCACCACCGCTGTTTTACGCAGCCACTGGGGTGTTTTCACACTTGCACCCTCTTCCTTGCTGTCCTTTAATCTTACATAACTCCTCTTTTGGTTTATATATTCATAAATATATGAATGTTTCACATATTTTCCCCCTGTCTTTCTCCAGGAGACAGACAGCCGAGGAGAGGGAGGCGGAGCGTCAGCAGGCCAATCGTCTCATCCTGCAGCTGCAGCAGTCCGCCCTCCAGAAGTCCCTCAGCGAATCAGCGGTGTCGGATCCACTGTGCGCCCATAACTCCTCCCTGTACGCCCTGCAGAACCTCCAACCCTGGGCTGAGGAGAGGGAATAAGAGACCAGACGCCATGCTGTAATCAATAAGCATCAGCTATTATCCCTGGGAGGATAAAAATCAATTTAATTAGGCCCTACATGAGGACAGTGGGACTTACTTTTTTGATCCATGCAATGGATTTAAAATTAAAAAAAAAAAAGAAAAGAAAGTTGGAGCAGAAAAACTGAAGAAGGGGTCACAGCCATTTGAGTGGACGGGTGAGAAAATGGACCTGAAGTGATGGAGATGGTGAGTGATGCCTGATTTGAAAGAGAAACAGAACTTTTCTTGGAATAAATCTTGCAGCTCTGTGCTTGGGAAGAGACTTTTTCAAATTCAACAACAAAAAAAAGGAAACAGAACTTGTCATTAAAAAATTCTGTGATTGTCCTCTAATGCTTGTACTTATTCTGTTTACTAGAATAAGAGGGAGAAATGTACCCCTTTGTCTTCTCTCTCAAGCATCAGACACATTGTTCAACACTTAGAAAGGGAAGAACACCAGCCATATAAAGGCAAGGCCTACATCCCAACACCTATACAATAGAGTACTTGCATACAAATGTGAAAATGTCTGTTTTATTAAAATACACACACAAAAAATGCAGATATGAAAGCTGCTCCAGATATTTTTCTTAACTGTTCTGGTGCTTAAACTTTCCTTCCAATCTCATTTATAAATGTACCCACTCCAGCTGCAATGCACCACCACGGTCACCTGTCCGTCTCCAGGTTTAGTGCACCACCTCAGCCCAAAAAAAAGATGCCTAAAATGTTTCATTATGGGGGAGAAATGCTTTTGTTGCGCAGTAATAAAAGGGAAATAGATGTCAGGATAAGAGGGGGGAGAGAGGAAATATGAAAGAGGCTGCAAGTTGGGTAATAAAGGGAGTGATGCATGTTCAGTGATGGTGGTGACGTTTTTTTTTTTTTTTTTTCATATGCACATTATCATGCTTTATTTGTGTGTCCTTTGGGAATCGGGGCACAAATGTACAATTCCTTTTGTACTTTCATTGTATATGTGTAAATAACAATATAAACTGTTCTTGTGACTCTTTCTGCTCGTGCTGTTTATGGTGCACCATAAAAAAATGATTTTAAGATTTTAACACACCATAATTATAAGCTATAAAAAAAGATTATGGGGTGACAAGGTGAAAGAAATCAGACGTGATTTTGTTTCTTGAAAAGTTTATTGATAAATATAATGATTTTATACAATATTTCAATACACACATTATTTCATTATGACAGTTTGAAGCTGTCTGTTTGTCTTCCTGTCCGTCAGTCTATCTGGAAGTATGTCTGGGTACATTTGAGATGAGCCGCAACACATTTTAGCTTTTTTTTTTTGCTTTTTTTTTTTAAATCACGCTATTGGTAGCACAGTGAGTGGGCATGACAGTAAAGCATTAATAAATCTGTGTTCTTTTTGTCCTGCTCAATCGTCAAAACGATGGCTCTTGTTCGAAACATGGCTTCCGTTCCTTCAGAATCAGTGAAAGGGTCTCTCTCGTCTGCCTCTATTCTGTCTCCACATCCCTCCTCCCTGCTCCCCTCTACTGTCTCTCCCTCACAGTGAAAGGTTGGTTGCTCCAAGTCGACTTTTTTTTTTTTTTTTTTAACAGACAGATCTGACGATGACACTCTCCTCTCTGGCACAGACAGCTCAGCTGGACTGATTAGTGTCCACAAGATGAATGCTTGTACATGCTAGGAAAAATGACACTAATATTCAGGCAAACTTTTACACCAGGACACCACACATAAACACATGCACGTCCCCTGTGTCACTCTGCATCTGTACGCCAGTGCTCTTTATTTCACAATGAGTGTCAGGTGGAATAAGAACAGGTAAATCTAATTAGACAGAAAGACAGACAGACAGTCAGAGTCAGAAACACGCAGACAAGACAGGAATGATTCCACACAGCAAGAAGAACCCACGAATACGACAGTTAAATATCTACAGTTGGGTCGTTACAACATTGAAACACTGACTGACACCACTGGAACACGCACAGTGGGTGTAGAGAGGACCGTAGCAAGCTGTCACAGGACGTAAGACTGATGCAAGCTGGCTGAGGTCAAATTCAGCTCTGCGAACCTTTACAGTCTGAGAACAGATGAGGTGGCTCTGTGAGATGCTACGCCCAGACCTTCCCAAATGTATGCACATATAGCTGAGTATATCGCCACGGAGTTCTTCATGGCACATACGTTAAATACGCCGTATAGGCCTCTGTCTTGCATGCTTCACAATATTGCTCATGTTTTGTTGCGTTGACACAGATAGTCATGATGAAAACAGCTATTATTTACGCCTCTTATGCACTAACTATGCATCGGGTTGATCTCGCCGCTGAGCTGCTTTCGGGAATTTCAGTCCTGCTTGATAAAGTTGTTCAATTTACACGTTTCTGAAAAGCGTTCAACCAAATGTTAGATAATCAGTATTTACACAATGTCATGGATACACAATGTCCAAGGCGACGGTAACGACACCAACAAACGAGGAGGATGGAGACGAGGTAAATGGTCACATGAGGGGTTTGAGTCCATTTTCCAAAACCGGTGATGGTTTGTCGCCATGGATTTGTTTCGTGGCAACCATCCCACACAAAGCGACAAGATCCATGTTTCCTATTGATTGCACGCCATCCTTTTCTCTTGCATGTTCATCTTTCTTTCTCCTCCTTTGTTCTTTTCTCCTCTCTGTGTTTTCATCTATTGCACCGTCCCCCTCTTCTTCACTGTCTAGATGACATTTTCAAACAGCTGTAGAGACCTCATGATGTTTTCATCCTGTAAAAGAGGAGAGATGGAAAATTAAGAGGCTGACTGTGAGAATGAAGTCATCCAACAATCACCACTTAATTCAGTTTACTGGCCACTAGGGGGCAGTAAAAGCCTGTAAAATGTTGGTCAGTGATCTCTGCAGACAAACACACACAGTGATATAAAAGGTAGCAAAGACCTTAATTAATTGCCAGTATAGTCAGACCTGCATCAGACGAACATAAGAAAATAATCTGAGGGAATAAGACTTTTATGCAAATAATAACTATAATAATTTGAATGTTTCTTTTAAAAGCTATAATACCCATACTACCATACTGAGATTTTGTATGTCCCATTACATTGCACTTCAAACGCAGTGTGCTGAAAATACCACCATTTCCTACTTTACCCAGTCACATTTTGCAGTATGCAAGCCAGCATGCCTTTCTGGCTATTCTGACCCACAATCCTCTGCGCAACAGAAGATTCGTCACATCAACTGGGCCGCAGACAGATGACAGCTCGTTGACAGCTGACAGAAGTCGCAATGACGAATGACATTCAAGTGTCAGTACTACACATTTTTTGCAACTCGTATGAATAATTAATACAATAGGCTTGTTTAAGATAAGATGTTCTGTAGAAAATCCTAATTTTATGTGTAATTCTAATATTTAATGCTAGATTTTAGGCTATTTTTCTTACGTTGTGCAATGGAGGTTTAATTTGTGAGCAAACATACCTTGTGTGCTTGATAATAATACTAATACCACTAATAATGATAATAATACATCGTCTGCAAACTACAGGTAGCCTACAGATTAATGTAACAGGATTTAAATAGTTCTGACTTCCTGTTCATTCTTTGAAGGCTGGTGGAAGTAGAGCCACTTTGCAGCAAACTGTCTGATTTGACTTTTTCTCACCGCCCCCTGCTGTCTTCTCATGCGAGACACAGGGAGCGTTCCGAATCGCACACTTTTTCTTTTTACTTTTAGTAGGTTCTGCAGCTGCCCTTAAAGAGTATGTACTGTTGCATGCAGTATGCACACAGATGAGACATACTACTTTCTCATAACATTACACGATGAACTTGGACCCTCTTACTCATATACCCATTACCATGGAGATAAAACAAAATGCCGTTCACCGAACTCTCCAGAGACAGAGGTCAACCCGGGAGTTCTGCTGTTGTTACTTTGCAATAAGTAATAACTGCATACACTGAGGATTCTAACATATTATAGTCATGATGATAGAATTACAGAGGCTATACATTTCTCTGTTAGTGTTATTTAACACGTATGCTCTTTTGTTGTTGGTTATATTTCTGATTTTTTTATTCAATCAAACAATTAATATTCCTAATATTACCATTCAACTGGTCATCGGTCACTTGAATGCATTTTCATCCATCACTGTGACTTCTGACAGCTGTCAATGAGCTCTCATCTGTTTGCAGCTCAGTCGATGTGATGTATCTTCCGCTGTACAGAAGATCGTGGGTCAGAATAGCCAGAAAAGCATGCTGGCTTGCATACTGTAAAACTGGACTGGATGTAGTAGAACATCCTGGTATTTTGGCATACTGCATTTGACATACTATGTACTGGGACATACTAAATCTTTTTCTGCCAAACTATACAGTATGATAGTATGGGTATTGGAAATCACAGACAGTTCATCTCAAACAAGCCCTTTAACATACATTAGTTTTGCACTTTGCATTGTGACGAATAAGCAAGAGGGTCAAAGTTCAAGGTGCAATGTTATGACTAAATAATATCTCCCAATTGTATGCATACTCCATCAGCTACTTTGTAAGGGGAGCTGCCTTACGCACTGAAAGTGAGAAAAGTATGCCATTCAGAACACAGCGTAGGTCTTTTTCAAAGCAGACATTGTGTCACAGCAGGAAAAGCACAGGTGTTATTGACATTAACAATGACTCTGCTCTATAAATGGAATTCAACCATTTTTAATTTTAGCATTTACACCTGTGCATTTCCTGCTGTGATGTTAAAATGTCTGTAATGTAATTTGTGTAAGGGAGATGTGAACTCTAAGGACAAAACGAAAGAGTACCTCTTGACAGGAGAGGATGAATTCATCCAGAGTGACCACACCGTCTCTGTTTTTGTCCATTTTCTGTGGAGAGCAACACACAAACGGTCAAAGTGAGTCAGATATTAAGATTTTAAACAAAGATACTGGGGCGTTGGTGGCTTAGTGGATAGAGCAGGTGCCCCATGTACAAGGCTGTTGCTGTAGCGGCCTGGGTTCGAGTCCAACCTGTGGCCTTTTGCTGCATGTCACTCCCTCTATCTGTCCCCCTTTCACACTCACCTGTCCTCCCAATTAACGGCTAAAATGCCCAGAAAAATATCTTAAAAAAACAAAAAAAAAACAAATGTAGTTTGTAAATAAACAGATTCTTGTTCTGTGAGAGACACTACAGCACTTCTCAGAGATCACCTGCTACTAGTCAGTGTGTCCAGCACATGTCTTGTTCCTGGATTTTTGGGTATGTTTCCTTAATTTTCACCCTTTTATTTGCTCTGAAGCCATGACAGATATCACTGCTCATGCTTACTACCCAAATTTGGTCAAAGGGTTCAGTTGTTGTTACCTGAAAGAAGGCATCTACATGCTGTTTGGGTGCGTCGTTTTTCAAGACAGGGTAAGTGTACTTCCCCATCATGTCGTATATCGCTCTGACGATGTCTGTCATCTCCTGTGAAACAGAACAGAAGCACATACACATAAACACAAGTGAGGCCTGAAGTATGAGATCAACATAAAAATACAAACACAGCGGGTATATGACCACAATAGCTTGTTTGGAATCAAGTGACTATTAGAACACGAAACTCAGATGGAGAGCAGGAAGTGATAAATCCTTATACTGCATGAATTGGAAATAGAGGAAAGTGTCTACATAAAAAGGCTGGATGAACCTGCAGGCAGCACGTATCGTCAGAAACTCATTTCAGATGTGATCCATACAAAGTGAAGAAAAGTGATTTAACACAACTTGACCCAGGGTGGAGAGGATCTTCATTACAAATTACATCGTCCTCCGGACCTCCTGATGCATGGCAAGCCAGATGAAAGAGTCTAACTTTAGCAGACTGTAACTGCTATATATCTTTTCATATTTCAGCTCTGTCTATGGATGCACAGCTAGTGTCAGGCTGTGAGCTAGCTAACTTTACCTACTATCCTCTACTTGGTCACCAGTCCCAGAGGTCTCATGAAATGTTGTTAAAAACAGAGAAGTTGTCACAGCACATTATAATTGCATAGCAATACCAACTCAAGACATGTTTAACACAATATTTTAACTGAGTGGTTCTCAAACGTTTTCTGTCAAGCGCCCCTCAGAAGCCATAAAAGATTAAATGCCCCCCACCCCACGTTTTTTGTGAATCATTAACAATAGTTGAGGAAGCAAATAATAATAAAAGAATGTTGAAGTTTAGTGAATTAAAGGTGACAGTCAAGTGACAGCATCAGCAAACTCTTGTTTGTTTATTTTCCCTACATAAATCATATACATTTAACATTATTTCACTCCATATTTTTCTGCTGGTCATTCACGCCCCACCTGCAGTGGCTCTATGCCCCACACTTTGAGAATCACTGCTTTAACTTAATGTTAACTGACTCCTCTTCTCTAGACTTAGGATGGTTTTTGATCCTTGTTTGGCGCCATGTTTCTGTGTGCCCTAGTTTATTCCTGATTTGGTCTATTGGAGTGGCCATGAACAGCACAAATCATAGGCATTTGTTTGGCAATGGTAGTTGTTGCCGCAAAACCTGTCTACAGCTGCCTGCCCTTCACAAACACACACCTCTTTGTTGATGTATCCATCTCTGTTGATATCGTAAAGGTTGAAGGTCCACTGCAGCTTCTCAGTGATGGAGCCTCTCAGCAGGATGGACAGGGCTGTCACAAAGTCCTGATGGAGACAGGAAGGACAGAGTAATAAACTGACAAAGGAAAGATAGTTTGTAAATAAAAATAAGAGTGTTACCACGTTAAAAAACAAATCGAGCAAACCTCAAACTTTATGGAGCCACTGTGTGCTGTGTCAAATGCATTGAACAGGTAGTGTGCATAGGTGCTGGCATCTGCAGGAGGAAGGAGAAAGTGCTTGTCAGAAGCGATGGGTACCATTAGGATTTCATTGGTACTGATATCAATGCCTATCAGTAAAGACTACTTTCCATAGTTTGATCTAAAAACATAAAGACATGGCATGAAAAGATGTGAAAAGACTCAACAGTTTGTCCTGCATATATAACAAGGGATGAGAAATTGCTACAGATGTCTGATCAACAAATGTCTGTTGGTGATGTGTCTTCATGCTGCTTCACTTCAAGAGACTAAATTTAAACACTATTACAAATTACCACAGAACTCCAGTCCTTGAGCTTCACAGACGTCAATAGCAATAGATAACAAAGAAAACAATGCAGTTATACAACATCAGACTTAATTGCCTGACGCCAGCAGCTTCATCATCAATAGGGGAGGTTAGGAGTTTAAAAATGCTGTCTATGTTGAATGAATCAATGTTATATAAAAACCAATAGCATCATTGTTTGTCCACAAAGTTATTGACATTTTGGTACTGAGCAGTCAGGGACTGGAAACAAATTTTTTACCAGTTCTCGATACCCATCCCTACCTGTCAGTGTACTTGATGGAGACAATACAGAGACACAGACAGGTATAGATTCAAACAGCACAACACTCTCTCTTTACCTCCATGAGGGAAGAACTGGGAGTATATTTGCTTGAACGTTTCCTCATTGACGACGCCACTTGGACACTCCTGGAAAGACAGAAAGAAGCAGAAAGAGAGAGTGAGGAGGAGGAGGGAGATATGAACTGCAGATACCAACCTGAGGGACACGTCAAAGAGAGACTGATGGAGGGTTTATCAGAATCAGAATCAGAATAACTTTATTGTCCTCAGAGAAGAAATTTGTCTTGGACAACAAGGCGGCTGCAGCTCACAATTTAGAATACAAACGACATTCACATTTGAATTATAAACAGCATTCAAGACAAGACATAAGAACATACAAGGACAGTTCGGTGCTTAGATGGTATCCGGATAGTCCATCCGATTTTTTTGCACATGACCCAGCAAGAATTTATTGCACAAGTTCAAATGTTTGATGGAATAAATTTAAGAATGACACAAAGCTGATTGGAGACTGGCATTTGGTTAAATCTCTAAATTATAGTTTTAATGTTTACCAGTTTGTAGTTGGTTTCAAGCATTATTGCGTTATATCACCAAAAGTAGATCAAGCTGCAGTTGCACATTTTGACCACCTGTCCAGGGTGTCGCTGTTGAGTTTAGTTTTACATGGAGCTTTAATTAAAGTGTAACTTAGCAAAACAAGCACCAAAATTGTTCCTGTGTGATGTCTGCTTCTATTGTAATACTCATAATACTTATTAAAAACAGCATTTATTAAAACTAAAATGCATTTTTGAAGGGTTCACTTGCAAAAAGACATCTCAGTTCTCATTTTGTGTGTGTGCAAGCCAGGGAGTATTAAACTGGTATAGACTGTTTATTTATTTTTTACCATGCACTCATATGAATATCAATCAGACTTACTGAATGAACTCTTTATGTTGTATAAGTAAAAATAAAGGGCAATTGCAAACAAGAACGACATAAAATGAATATTAGCAGTAAAATCAGAGGGAAACACCATTATAACCAAATATACACAAGCATATTTAAGTAAGTAAACAAATGGCCCTCAACCCAAATTATTTGTTCTACCTATGAAACCCGAATACATTTTTACTTTGTTTTTTAATACACTGAACCTTTACAGAATGTTTTAATAAATCTACTGTAGCTACAGAACAGCACTTCAAACATATACCATGATGTCATTTCATTTCATTTATTTGACTAACCACTATTATCACATGGTATGGAGTACAAACATTACACACAATAACAAACAATGACACAAGACGTGACTAAAGTTCAACCAATGTTATTTTAACAAAGGAAGCACATTCTTCATAAAAACACCTAGTTTACAAATTACTTCTGGCTTATCTGATTGTATGACAAAATAAATTTACACATAGATGGACAGTTTAAATAACACTCTAGCAAACTGTTCAACAGTTTTAACCAGCTGATGTTGTTACACGTTTTAATCCAGCAAAAATTATCTCAGTTCATCCTTTAATACTTTCACTGGAGGCAAATACAGACTGATACTGTGGACAACTCCTGGTGCTGAGATGATGTTTATTAATTGATTTACCATAAGAAACCTATATTTAACAAAATCATGTCTTTAAACCTAGTGTTCATCAAATTATTCCTTAAACCATAAAGGGATCTTTGCTTTGCTTTGCTTTTATAGAGGCATCCGTTTCAGTTTTTGTCGTGCACCTCTTTTTCACTCAGTTCGGAGAGAGAGATGATGGATTTTACCAAGAGGGCTCATGAATGTTTGCATGGTTACAGCACAAGCCAGAATGAGACTGAAGGATTTAAGGATTCATTGTTTCAGAAATCTTTTATTCACAAATAAATAAATTAATATCCAACATAATTTAGAATTCTTGTGTGTGAAGGTATTATTTCTTTCTTTACTATTCTTTTTTTCTTACACATCCAATATGTTAATATACAAAATCACCAGTACACTTGAAATACTGTCAATATTGAGTGTAGAAGTATCTTTTAAAAAGTGTATAAGTATAAATATATGTCCTGTACGTATCTATGAGGAGGAAAACATCCTTTGAAATGAACCTGTAGTGTCACTTACATTCTTAAAGCCCCGGTAGAGCACTTGGAGCTCTCTTTTGCTGAAGTTGGTTTGAGCTTCTAGTTGGTCGAGGCCCTCCGGTCGATGGCACACCATGGTCATCTCCAAGTCATCATCAGCTTTGTCTGGAAAAAACATAAAGCAATATTCCTTAACATAAACTGCAACACACGGTGAGCGAGAAAGCGAGGGAAAGGGAGGATAAATAATCCAAGACACAGCGCCACAATAAAAATGATGTGCGAACTACAAGTTTGAAATATCTTTAAAGTTTTTTTCCACTGGAAAAGGCAGAAATAATAAGACTGGTTTTAAGAGAGAAGGAGGGGAGAGGATGAGACGTAGAGGTCGGTCTAACAGCTCCATGTTCCTCCTCTCACCGGCCCCATCATTAACAACTCATTGCTCTCCTCGCCGGAGGGGAGGAGAGAGAGGACAAACCGTTGACTCTGAGACAACACGCGCACACACACACACACACACACACACACACACACACACACACACACACACACACACACAGGCACACACACAGGCTCAGAGTGCCTTAAGTTCAACATGACAGTATAAAAGCACATTCGTCTACACATTTGCACGAGTGCGCCCGCACTCCCTGAAGCAATCTACAATGTAATAATTATGCATAATATTATTACTGTGCATAATTTAATAGAAATAGTCATAAAAATTCAGAATATGATAAAGTGGTCATAATGTGCAGTAGTGAAATGCTGGACAAAAAAACCCCCCTGATGATTAAGTAATAAGGCGGTACGTTTTATGGACACCATTTCAGAATAATGACTGTCTGATGGTCTGTCACTGACCTGTCTGCACCTGTCCAGCCGTGTTTACTTTAGTGTGGAGCACTTATCATCTTCTCCTGCTTCATTAGAGTTAAAACTCACAGACTGATATGAACGTTTAACATGTTTAAAGATTGGTGTTACAGTCTATATTGCTGCCTGCGTAGACCTCTATTTATAAGAGCTAACTTCCCATCTGAAGTGCTGCGTGGTGATCGAGTATAATCGTCTCTGTCCTTTTAGCATTTAAATGCAAATTACGGTCATTGAGCAAAACTGATTATTGTTATCAGAGGATATAAGCAGACAGTTTGAAAGAGAGCTCCCACAGTCACAGTGTCTGCTGCAGATTCAATGAGTAAGCTAAAGTATTTTTAAGTTCTCCTGTCCCGCTTTAATGAAGTGTCACAGAGTGCAGTGTTCACACCGTCCTTGGCACTCCACATTTTAAAACATCAACAGTCTTGAAATAGAAACGTTTTTATCTGTGTGGCGAGACCATTAGCGCTTTGTAAAGCTTCATTACACCAATACCTCTTCAGCTCTGTTCTCACAGAGAATCACGGGCAGCAGGTCGGCATTTTTATTGTGCAAGCGGAGACAGCTTCATCTCACTGCAGAATTAAACCTCAGTCAACAGTCTGGTGTTCACATTTGTTCACATCAGCAAGACTTTTCAGGTAAATAGTCACATACAAGTGCTGCCATCATGGTTTAAGAGCAAAGGTGGGTTTGAATTCATAATTTGTAGTTGCTGCACACATAAAATACAATAATATTTTATGTCATCCAGCAAGGGCTTATTACACCGTGCCCATTAATTTTCTACAGAGCATTATTACAGTATATGATGACTTTGTAGCTTCTGTTGAGTTGCTAAGCAATCTCTCTTTATATAGCTCCTTTCCCCATCACACACACACACACACACACACACACACACGCTCTCACAACCCCTGAAGGCCAATCGTTTCATCACTCAGGCAGTTCAGTGTTTCTCAGTGTCACATTAGAGTGGAGGTTCACACTCCTGGCTCAAGGTGAGATTATTCACATCCAATTCCCAGTGACGTTCAGGTATAGCCCATTATATACTGCGTAATGACACACACACACCACAACACAGACAATACCAAACTAGTGTGCGAGCATGTATTTAAAACACAGATCCTGATGTGATGCTCTTAAGTACTGTACACTGTATAATAAACGTTCTGGTGTGGCGTAACATTGTTAAACCCACACAGCATATGATTCATGCACCTACAGAGATAAAGCTCTCCACTGAAAGGCTTCACTGTGACTCTATTGTCCATGTTAAAGCCCTGGTGGCACCTGCACAGTCACCATCACACTCAGTGCTTGCACTAAAAACTAACACAGCTCAGGATGTTCCATCTCAAATTACAGCACAATGCATAGTTAAGCCTCTGAAAGGAAAAAGTTACACCAATAACTTGAATGGTTTTTGAATCAGCATGTTTTTTATATCATCTAACAGGGCTGCAGAACTAAAATCCTTTGATAAACACAGCATGTATAAACATGTAGAGCACAAACAGTATATTGTGGGTCTCGATTCCACATTAGTCTTGATTCTGATTGGTCGAGTGCATCATCCCACAGTCTGTTATTTCTGCTATGGACACACTTCTGAATGAAGTCGATTTTTAAGATTACTTTTTCGACTTCTGCCTTTACTTCACAGGACAGTATTTAAGTGTGGAGGGGGTGAAGATATGCAGCAGAGGACCACTCACTGGAATCAAACCCACAGCTGCTACAGCAAGGACACTGCCTTTACATGAAACCCCAGCTCTCCCCACTGAGCTACAGGGCTCCTCTACAACATTTTTTAATCAATATTTGTGTCAAATTATTGATTTATTTAGTAAGACGCGTTGTAATAAGCTGGATAATGTACAGCTCGCAGGTCATTATTGCGAAATAAACCCCCACAGGGTGATTCAGGACTACAGTGTACGACGCAAGGCTGTACATTATTTCTTACAATGAGCCCTTTGAGGCAGTTTGTGGTGCCATTGAAAGAAAATTGACTCGACTTAATTAATAACACAACTGTGAGAGTCAGGATCAGTTAGTATTCAGGTTTAGAATTGCTTTTTATGCCTTTGTTTTGTCATTTTTTCTCAGCATGATCATATGGGTTAGGTGGGTAAGGACACTGCAGCATGTTCAGAGTATGTGCATGCAGTTAAGACAATCAAAATAGATAAAATGATGTAATTAATGCAACATTATTATCATACATGAAGACACACAAGTTCAGATTTGTAAATTACAAGCTGTGGAAAACATGAGTCAAAATTAGGGTTGTAATAAGATCACAAGTGATACCATTTGTTATCACTTTCAGTTAGTTATAGCTGTATTAGACTCAGTTTCCTGTGTCTTGGATGATATCAGACATTGTAGCTATAGCAATATCTACTGAGTATTATGTCAGAATTGTTATCAGTAGATAAAAAAAGCATGAGAGAGTCGACCAGAGGAGATTTAGAATATCAAAAGCAGCAGAGAAAAAAGCATGCAAGCCCTCAACAGCGAGCAGTTGTTAAAGGTAGTAGTTCAGAATTCAATACCAGTACATGGGGTTGAGAGTGCAGTCAGTCTATGTCCCAAATATCCAACATTCCCACATAAATAATACTTTTTTTTCTTTAAATCTCAATAACTTGCTTACAGACAAACAGTAGTGAAAAACACAACCGCTCTACAACTTTGTTTGTTTTGTCGGAGCGCTGGATCGCAGTGATAGTAGCTGTAGTACTGACTCACCCTCCACAGTGATGACTCCCAGTAGGTGCAGCATTTTCACGGCCCCGCAGCACAGCAGGATGATGGCTATAGTGTGTAAGCTGTTCTCACTCTGCTCCTCTCTTTCCATTCTGATTCACTTCTTTGTTTCCACTGGACTCTAGAAGCTTTGTGCCTCCAACTCACTTTCCTTTACTTGTTTTTAAATTCTTGGACTTTTACCACATAAAAGTATGCAAGAGAGAAGCTATTCTAAACTTTCAAACTTGCTTTTTACCCAACTCTGACTACAGTTGGCGACCGTTTCTCTCCGCCTCTCTTATTTAACTTTCTATCCATCCTGCCTTCTCCTACAATGAGATCAGCACTCGCCTGCCTCTCTCTGTCTCTGTCTTTTTATCCCCCTGTCTCTCTACTCCCCAGGGCATCTCCCTCTCTTATCCTGACCTTCGCTCCATCCCACTAACTCTCTCCCTCCTCCCCCCCTCTCTCTGTCCCCCTACACAGTCACTGTGTCCTTCACTCTTTGGGAACGTGGCTCTAACTTGAGGGTCCGACCCGAGCGCACTGTAACAATGATAAACTCACCTTCTGCTGTACGGATGTTTGTGTTTGTCTTGTGACTGTGCGCCCCTGTGCATGTGTGCATGTGTGTGTTTGTGAGCAGATCAGCACTTGATTAATTGGCCCCATTAAGACACACGGTCAACCCCCAACAACAGGAGGCTTCATTTACTGCAAAGTGACTTTTGTAACTGAACATGGCTGAGTCCCTTTAAAATTATTTAATCCTACAATGTAAACACTTTTTCTGAATCTGTATCATGAAGACACCTAACAGGATCCATCCCTGATTCATTAAATCTGGATAAAATTCAAATAACTGCATCCCTAGTTAAAAACATAATAAATACAATGTTAAAAAGGTAATACTGGTTTAAAAAAAGGGCCAAAATACACAAACTTTAAATAATGTTTGATTAAAAACTTAGTACTCTCTTACAGATGACCAATGGGACTCCATCTTAGACTCGATACACACTTCTTTCACATGAGCTTAACATTGCTTAACACACTGAAAGTGGTACACAGAGCTCATTTTACTAAAGCTAGACTAGCAAAGATCTATCTGAATGTGGCACCAATGTAGAGGTCAGCCAGTAGACTTAATGCATGGGTTCTGGTTATATCCAAATCTTTGCTCCTTCTGGATAAGTATTCTTAAAGCTTTAAGTGACATGTCTGCAACCCAATTGGACCCTAACCCAGTCTGCACACTCTTTGGTTTAACTTCAAAGGGATCCCATGCTATCTTGCCAAATAAAGCCTGTGTGGTCAAAGCTTTCACTACTCTCCCTCATCCTTTTCTCATTTGGTCAAAGACATGTATTTCTTACAGCTATAAAAAATCAAATCCTTGTTCAAAAGGTCCTCTGAAACCTTTATTAAAATATGGAGACCCTTTTGGACTTTTTTGATTCGCGACAGGACAATTTGATAAAGAATAGGATGGTACCTATAAATGTTGCATCTAAGCATAG